AAAAAAATATTTTTAAGAAGAAAATGATGAAACAAAACTTTACTGTTTTTTTTTGTTTGTTTTTGGTTGGGGCGAGATATTATTTTAGCTTAGGTTTTTGCTTTTTTTGAGACAGGGTCTCCCTATGTACTCTGGCTGCCCTGGAATATAGACCAGACTAGCCTCAAACTCACAGAAATCCATCTGCCTCTGCCTCCTGAGTGCTGGGATTGAAGGTGTATACTATCATGCCTGGCATAAAGGTTTAATGATTGGGCAGAATTTTTATCTTTATTGGAATGGCTAAGAAAAAAAATAGGAATTAATGGGATATTAAACAATTTTTTTTCTTTTTACTACTCCTTTTTGGGTGGTTAGCAGCCTAGAATTTTTATAAAGATTCAATCCAGAATGCATTAGACATTCTTGTTACAATCATACTTACTTACTGTGAATTCTACCTTATCAGAATCATGATTTGTACATTATAGGCTCAAAATAGAATTATCAAGTTTCCAGCTTAGAAATTGTTATGAACTGGCACATTTGTTAGATTTTGATCTCCATATTTGTCATCTAGAAGCCGGGTAAGAGCCAAGGGGTGTTTCTCCTTTTCTCCAAATTGGAGCCAATGCAAATAATAGAACTGAGTTCTCATACTGCAGTGCTATAAGTTCTATGCTCTAGTGCTTGGTAAATAACAATTTTACATGGTGAGCTTGTATTCTCCATGAATAGCCCAAACAATTCTGAGCACAAAGAACAACACTACAGGAATTACCATACTAGACCTTAAACTGTATTACAGAACTATAGTCATAAAATCAGCATGGTATTGGTACAAAAACAGACATGTAGATCAATGGAACAAAATAGAAGACCCAAACATGAGTGCATACAATTTCAGCTACCTGGTATTTGACAAAAGTGCCAAGGACATACACTGGAGGAAAGACAGCATCTTCAACAAATGATACTGGGAAAACTAGATCTCCACATGTAGAAGAATGAAATTAGACCCATGTCTATTACCCTGCACAACTCCAAATGAATCTCAAAGACCTCAATGTAAAACCTGAAATGCTGAAACTTTTAGAAGAAAACTTAGGCAGTGCCCCACAAGACATAGGTGCAGGAAAGGACTTGCCAAATTGGACTTCAGTTGCTCAGGAATTAAGGTCAACAATTGACAAATAGGACTTCATGAACTAAAAAGCTTCTGTACTGCAAAGGAAACAAGTGGAGAGGAAGCCCAGAGAGTGAGAGAAAATCTTTACCAGCTAGCTTCACCAATCTGACAGAGGATTAATATCCAGAATATGCAAAGAACTCAAAAAACAAAGAATCAAGAAAACAAATGACCCAGTTAAAAAAATGAGCTATGGATCTGAACAGAGAGCTCTCAAAAGAAGAAAATAAAATGGCTAAGAAATATCTTAAAAAGTGTTCAACATCCTTAGTAATTAGGGAACTGCAAATGAAAACCACTTTAAGATTTGATCTTGCTCCAGGGCTAGATCAAGAGAACAAATGACATCCAATGCTGTTGAAGATGGGAGTAAAGGAGAATCCTCATTCACTGCTGGTGGGATTGTGTAATCACTGTGGAAAACTAAAATTAAAACTAAAATTAAATCTATTATATGATCTGTTTTTACCCTTCCTTGTCATATACCTAAAGGACTCAATATCCTACTACAGAGATACTTACACAGCCATGATTATTGCTGCTCTGTTCTCAATAACTAAGAAATGGAAACAACCTAAATATCCCTTAACTGATGAGTAGATAATGAAAATGTGGAACATTTACACAATGGAGTTCTACTCAGCAGCAGAGAAAAATGAAATCATGAAATTTGCAGATAAATGGATGGAACTAGAAACTTACTAAGTGAAGAACACACACTCAGAAAAACAAGTGACGTACATTCTTTCTCATTTATGGATCTTAGCTTCAAATCCTGAAATGTGAATATATATCCTGATTAACTGCAGGAGCCAGGAAAACAGAAAGGAACCATGGGGGTAAAGGGGAAAAAGGAGGTTCAGAGAGGAGGATAGTTGAAGACAGGTGTTATCAAGTGGGGAAAAGGGAAGTACCTTACTGAGGAGGGAATAGGGAGGGTTGTAAATGGGGAGAGAGAGAGGAGAGATAAGTAATGCTTAAGTAGTGTGAAGAACCAGAAGAAAATGTTAATTCAAAAGCCTACTGAAAAATATGCATGCAGTATATATATGAGTACGTGTGTATAGCTGAAGTCTATATAATAAAAACACTGCCAGGCAGGGGAAACCTCCCTTTGAGTTGTTGGTCATAGAAGAGATTCCCAGTATAACTAGGCTATTGCCTTAGCCGTTGCTTGCCTCCCAGAAATTGAAGGTAAGACCCTATTACTGAAGACAGGCCATACTTCAGACACAGGACTTGGAGTTGGAACAGACCTGGAAGCCTCCTCTCTGAAGAGTGGCTCCCATAGTATCAGAAGATATGCAGACTGCCAAGAGGGAAAACCAATTGATGATTCCATCAGTTGTGAAGTCTATGAAGCACAACAATGACCAGCCCAGCAAATCACCTCTACTGGTATAGTAGTGGCACTTTTATTTTGGGGGTAATAAAAAGCTGTCTAATTGGACTTACAGCCTGCTCAATGGGAGGGAACTCCTGTGTGGTACTGTAAACGTGGCCAGATAGGTCATAGATCCTAGAGAAAAACCTACTTTTGTCACATCCCTAGACTAATGAAATTTCTTACTGTATGCTAAATAGGTATTCTTAGAGTTACAGATAAGTGTATGTCTCACCACTCATCAAAGAAGCTTCTTTTTGCAACAGGTAGAGATGTTACAAAGTTCTGCAACTGGTCAAATGCAGAGAATTTGGTGAGGTGCTCAGCCCTAAGTGACACATCTACAATGCAACCTCTATACCTAAGGCTCATAGAACATAGAGGAACAGGAGACAGAAAGAGTATTAATGCACCTCTCAACTCTCACCAGTGAAGCTTTCTCTTGCAACAGGTGGTGATAAACCCAGCATGCCACAACTGGCAAAAGTGTAGAGAATTAAGAGACTACAGTGTGTTGATCCTGGAATAGGATATTCACATCAATCCTTTACAACCCAAGGCTCAGGGACCGTTGCAGAAGAGGGGGCTGAAAGACTACAAGAGCCAGAGGTGGTAGATGACCACAAGGAAACAGTTTTCCAGACAGCTGTGACAGCATGCACAAGACCATGCAAGTTCAAGCCATATAAAAACCCAGTATAGAAGTGGGGAAGAAGTCTTAACTTGAGCCGAGGAACTGTTGACAACCAATAACTATTGGGAGAGGGAGAGTTGGTTTTCTTTAAGGCTGTGTTGTTAGCTAGATTAACCAGGATCCAGTGGATGGATGCACACTGAAGGACATTTGGGGACATAAACTTGACTGGTTAAGGTTTTAAAAAATATTATTTTTATTTTATGTGTATAAGTGTATTGCCTGCATGTATGTGAGTGCACCCATGTTGTGCAGTGCCATGGAGGTCAAAAGAGGGCTTTGGAGTCCCCTGGAACTGGAGTTAAGGACCGTTTGTAGCCGCCATGTGGGTGCTGGGACCCGAACGTGGGTCCTCTGCAGGAGCAGTCAATGCTCTCAACTGCTGAGCCATCCCTCCAGCCCCATCTCTATGTTGGTTAGGTTTCAACACATATGACAGAGTACATGAAATCTGGTGGGGAGTGTCTATAAGAGCTGTGCAGATAAGGGATGGAATCTAAGTATGATCAAAATATATTGTATGAAATTCACAAAAATTCAATAAAAATTGTTTAAAAAAAGCAAAATATGTGATTGGAAAGATGGCTCAGCAATTAAGAGCAATAACTGCTCTTGCAGAGGACCCAGGTTCCATTCCCAGCATCCATATGGCAGCTAACAACTGTCTGTAACTGCAGTTCCAGGGGAATCCAATGCCCCCTTCTAACCTCCATGGGCATTGCATGACATGCATGCGCTTACATGCATGCAGGCAGGTAATACACTCATACACAAAAATAAAAATCTTTTAAAAAATATGAAAAAAATCCAAAAAAACCAAAAACACTTTCCACATTCATGTTTCTAGTAAGTAGAATCTAGTTGAAACTCTTGGTTATATTAAGATCATCTATATGGGTTGTTAGAGACAATAAATTTTTCAGAATTACTTATTTTTGTTCATTGCCTTTGCTTTTATTTGCAGTTCTGGGAATTGCCAGTGCCGAGTGGGTGTCACAGGCTCCATGTGTGACCAATGCAGGGATGGATACTATGGCTTTAGCAAGAACGGCTGCTTGCCCTGCCAGTGCAATAACCGGTCTGCCAGTTGTGATGCTCTCACAGGTACATAGTTTCCTTAGTTTTTAAAAATGAAATTATGCATTATATTTTGATCTTGAAGTCTTTCAATATATATTGATTCTTCTCAAAGAATTTATAAGGGCCTTGTTCTTTTATGTAGGATGCAATAAGGCATACAGCAAACTAAACTCCTTTTATAACAATTTAGAGATAGATAATACATAGATTTCAAAAATCATGTTGATTGGAGAGCTCTGGAGTATTAAGAGCAACACAAACTGAAATGCCAGAAAGGTCAGAACTTTTTAGAATTCTTCCAAGCAAGCTCTGGCCACTAGGAAAGTCATGTGTTAAAGAACTGACTGTGAGACCAAAGAAGAAGTCAGACAGATGAAGGACTGCAGAATATAGCTTCCTGGGGCTTACTTATAGAAGCGTGGGCAAAGGTAGTAGCAAGATTGGTTCCTCCTTACAACTTGGATCAGAAAGTGGAGGTTTATTGGCTGTTGAGGATGAAAGTGACTTTTATTTAAACAAGAATGTTCCTAGGTATCAGAGACACCGGGCACATTCATGATGCTAACTAACTGCACAGGTTCCTGTCATAACGCTTCATGTACCATAGCACTCTAACTTTTTACTTATCTACAGTATTCAGGGAAGCTATGTAAAGAAAGCAACTGGGGTTACTCTGGCATAGTCATGGAAATTATGGCTCAAGATATCTTCAGTCAAATGGCTGGATCCCTACACCACATACCTTCTTTCAGGGGAGAATTGCTTGTTCTGGGCACAGGCTAAGGAGTAGGCTTGGCCCAAGGAAAGGATTTGTACTTGAGGAAGAGCTTTTGACAGTCATTTGGAGCTTGCATAATAGTTGGAAACTAGAGGAGCCTAAATACAAGGCCAGTTTTCCCATCGCTGACTTTGCAGGAAAATGGAAGGCTGGGCCAGAAAAGTTTTATGCTGAAGAGACAAAATCCTTCTAGCGAGAAGAGGGCTTGCCACAGCATACAAGCAGCTCTTTCTTATGACATTGCCAGGCTCTGAAGATGTGTGGAATGGGACTTAACACTTGAACCACCAGTGATCAGTACTGAATCTCTCACAGTCTTTCAGGAATGATGAGGAGAAAAGGGCTTACCAGATTCTTAATCATAAGCGCCTACCAAGAAACAGGGATTAGCTAGAGTGAACCAACAACCGCTGAAATTGTACTCCATCTGCAGTCTACCTCCATGTCTGATCCAACAGAGGGGATCCCTTCATCATATTTGCCTAATAGAGGAAAAGAAGGCCCTCTCTGGTTCTTTCATATATCAGATGTGGCATCCAATAAAAAAACAGCAGAGAATGCAGAGAGGGGAAAACGTAAGCAGTAATAACGAGAAAATAGAAGCAGTAGAAGCAGAACTACAGATACTATCATTCCTATGGTTCTTAGAGTTGGCATGTGAAGGCTTTAAAATGCAAAAGTTAGTATCTTAAGGAATTGGAGAAGAAAAAACAAAGCAGATGAAAAGAGATACTATTTCAACAGAGAATTGTACACCCCAACACACACACACACACACACACACACACACACACACACACACACACACACACAGATCCTGAAGGCTGGGAGTAAAGCCAGTAAAGTCCTTGATGTACAAGTATGAGGATCTGAGGATCTGAGTTCTCTTCCCGGAACCCATGTAAACATTCAGGGCATGGTTGCATGTGCTTGTAATCCTAGTGCTGGGGAGATGGAGACAGGAAGGTTCTTGGACCTCACTGGCCCACCAATATAGCCTAATTGGTGAAATCCAGGTCAATGAGAGACTCTGTCTCAATGGACGCAGACAGCATTCCTGGGGAATGACAGCTGAGGTTGTCCTCTGCCTCCGCATGCATGTGCATACATGTATACTTGCACATACATCAACATACACACATGAATAAAAAAGAAGCAATCTAGAACTGAAAACTAGTGTCTGAAATTAATTAGTTATTGCATGAGCTTAATAGCAGACAGTACCCAGTGAAGGCAAGGTTAGTAGACCCAAATATAGTGCAATTAAAATAATCTAAACTGAAGCAGTTATATAAAATATAATGGAGAAGAAAAAGCAGAAAAGACATGTGGGACACAGCCAAAAGGTCTAATATAAATGTAATGGGACCTTCTGAAAGTTAATGGCCAGGAATTTTCCAAATGATTGAAAAAAAAAATAAATCAACTGACAGGTTCAGAAAGTTCTGCAAACCACAAGCAGTATAAAAACAGAGAAAAATCAGTTAGACAAATTTAGTCAAATTGTTAAAAATGAAAGACAATTAACTAGGAACTTCCCTGGGAACCTTTTTAACACCAACAGAAAAATCAGGATATACTAGTTTGATAAGTGTTCATTTTTATAAGAACAGAATAGCAGAATATTTGAAATTGAAAGTTCCCCTGGAAAAATCTGTGCTGAAAGCCTGTTTATTCCAATCCTGTACTCTCCAGTGAAGTCTATTAGATAAATTGGATTAGAAGAAATGGTGTTATATTTTTATTATATGATCTAGCCTCTTCCTACTTGTATATTATATTCTTTTTCATCACTATTAATATATGTGACCCAGGCTTCTGTTTCTAAAACAAGTTATGTTCCTTGTCTCCAGGGTTTTCAAACATGATCTTTGGTCTGCTTAGAATGGTCTTTTTAACCCACCTACACCCACACCATAGACTGCTCTGTTTATTAAGTCTTAGTTTTCCTTCGGGTCTTCAATTAAAGGTTACTTCATTAGCATTTCCTGATGTTCCACACGAAAGGAAAACTGCTGCATGTTCTCACATGAGCTTGTTTCTTCAGAGCAGTTGTCACAGTTGGTAATTACCTATTTATTTGTATGATGACTCATATACTCACTCAACACATAGTAAGTTCCATGAAGGTAGAAATAGTATCAGGCATGCTCACCATAGTTTATACAATTTCTAGCACCGATACTGGCGCACAGTGAGTATTCATTGTCTCTTTGTTGAATAACTGAACAAAGGGGTGGGGAAGTATAAAAAAGAACAGTAAAGTCCAACACTGGGTAGCAGGAGGAACGTTACATTATTCTGAATCAGTTTCTGTTGCTCCCTATATCTTTTACAGTACCAGAAAGCTGTGCACATTGCTGTTTCTTCTTGTTGTTTTTCTTCGTAGCAATGAGGCAGCCCTCTTTACTGTTAAGTACTGACTGATGCATGCTCTGAAGATGAAGTAAAATGAATCCTTTTAATGATTATGGTTTCTAAAAGAAGATCTGTCCATATGAACAACATAATGAAGATGGAATCTATCATGACCCTTGATTTAAAACTACCACTTCCAGACAGGGAGACAAAGAGGACAGATAAATAGTGCCTATCTCATATAAAAAAAAATAAAAAAATAAAAAACAGAGGGAACTGTATTAGTCCAAAAACCTACTGAAAAAATTACACATACAGTATCCCTACATGAGTTCATGAGTACAGCTGAGTCTGTATAACAAGAAACAGTGCCAGACAGGACAAACATTCTTTTGAGTTGTTGACCAGGGTAGTCCAGGGTAGTCCTTGATTGCCTCCCAGAACTTGATGATAAGACCCTATTGTTGAAGACAGGACATACTTTAGACACAAGATTTGGAGTAAGGGAGCTAGAACTGATCTGGAAGGCACCTCCCCTGAAGGCTAGCTCTCATAGCTCTGGAGAGCACTATGCAAGATAAGGAAGAACATCATTCAGTGGTCCAACCCCAGCTTCAAGGCCTAAAAACCACATCAGTGACCAGCACAGCAAATGACATTGGTGCAGTAGTGGCACTTTTATCTTGGGGGTAATCAACAGCTGTCTAATTGGATTTAAAGCCCACTCAGTGGGAGGAAACTCATGTCTGGTACTATAAACCTAGCCAAAAACACATAGCTGGAGAGGTCATGGATCTTAGCGAAAACCTCAAGGCTCTCATATCCCTAGACAAATGTAATTTCTTACTATGTGCAAAACATGGATCCTTAAATTTACAGATGAGTATTCTAGTCACCACCCATCAAACTAGCTTCTTTTTCAACAAACAGAGATTATTATAGTTACACCACTTGGTCACACAAAGAGATTCTCTGTGACTTGCCCAAGCCTAAGTGGCATCTGGTATAGTGGATGCGACCTCTACATCAAAGACTCACAGAACATAGAACAAGGGATGAAGAGAACACTAATGCATCTTTCAGTTCTCATCAATGAAGCTCGCTCATGCAACAGAGGGCCAGGAACACAAAATGGCCAAAACGCAGAGAGTAAGAGTCAGCAGAGTGTGGGTCCTTGGACAGGACTCCTATATTGAGGTCCACCAGCCCAGGGCTCAGAGACCATTGCAGAATAGGGGGCAGAGAGATTGTAAGAGCCAGGGAGGATGTGCATGACCATACGAAAATAGTCCTACAGGTGCCTGGGACCCTTCTCATATACAAACCTACAGCAGTGATGTCAGCATGCACAAGACCCATGCATACTTAGGGAGACAGAAACCCAGCACAGAACTGTGGAAACGAACAGCAAGCCCCAATCTTAGTCAAAGAATTATTGGTGGCTGATTACTGCTGGGTGAGAAAGAACTGATGTTCTTGAAGGGAAAGACTCTAGATAGGCTGACTGAGCCCCGGTGGATGAACTTGCACTGAGGGACATCTGGGGACACTAACTTTACATGATAGGCCTTAACATAATGACAGAATGTATGAACTCCAGTGGGAGGGCTATGGGAGGTGCCAAAGGGGAAGGGAGAAGGGGGTATAAAGATGATTTTATGTATGAAATACACAAAAATTCAATAAAAATTTTATATAAAAATAAATAGCACGCCTTTAATCCCAGCACTTGGGAGGCAGAAGCAGGTGGATCTGTGTGAGTTCAAAGCCAGCCTGGTCTTCATAGTGAGTTCCAGGACAGCTGGAGCTACAGGGAGACCCTGTCTCAAAAAGACCAAAAAAAAAAAAAAAAAAAAAAAAATCACAGCATTATTTCTAACTTTGAAAA